GCCTTGGAGCATCCCAGGAGTTGCTACTAACAGAAGTTGTGCTAAAGACCCACAAACATGAGCTCCTACAGCACCACACAGCTATAACCCACCACATCATTAACTGGCCACAGCTTCAAGCAGACCTAGTGCCTCAATACTGCATGTGGAAGCCAGGCACAAGAGCTGTGGAGGCTGTTAGCTGTAAGATCACCCTCTTTGTTGCTGTAAGTGAGTCAGGTCCAGCATCAGGAACCTGGCAGCTGCTGCTCAGGAAGTCTGCTCTGCACTGCCCATTACCTCTGTTCAGCTCCAGTCCCCACCCAGGGCTTCCAACCAGATCACCAAGCCACACTAAAAATAGTCAGCTCACAAAACCAGCTCTTGGCTCTAGCCACTCCACCCTCAAAGTACAGAGACTAACTATACTGCCTTCTGCAAAGAAAAGGAGAATTCACTCCTCCATCTATTTATAAGCTGCTTATTCACAGCTTGCAAGCACAAATTCTTTTCAGATGAGGAGCTTTGGGGAAGACATTATGCTTTTTCTGGTTCCATGCTGCACAAAGCCCAGCACCCAACCTGGTCATTCATTCGCCATCTGAGGTTTTTCTTTCTTTCAGCTCTCACATCTAGTCTTGTGGCTATCTTGCCTGCCAACATGCAGAACATGATGCAATCCCACTCCCATGCCACACTGAGAATGCAGGTTCACTGGTAGAGCCAGGCATGCACCAGGTGTATTCTGGTTTGACTAGTATAAGGCATCTTTACATTAACATAAAATTTTGATATCTTCTTTACTCCACTTCTGACTCATAGTATATCTAGAGGACGAAAGGCATCACTGGACACCTTGTCTAGGTAAGCGTTCCCAGCTCTTGGCTATGCTGGAAGAGCAGCAATAATGAGAACAGTGGAAAATGTCGGGCTAAAGACCAGGTTAAGCCTCCCTGTATTGCTGCCCAGCCCCACACAACTGCCTTGCTTTAGTAGGAGCTCCCACTGCTGCTGCCTGGCTCCTGGCAGCTTTTCCAGGCTTATGATGGAAGTGCCAGAGAAGTCTTCGAAATCCACCACAAAATAAGCAATGCATTAGTCCACCTTCAACAACTGGCTTCGTGAGTTGCCTGCAAGTCACAGGTTGGTTAATCAATACACTAGATATCCAGAAGCCAAAGATACACACCTGCTAGCCAACTCTATGTAACTTAGCACGTTTATGAAAGATTTCCTGTCCAAAAGTGCAAAAATAAGTATTAGTTACATTGAAGTGATGGATGTCTCCATGGCATTTGTCCACACTTACTGACAGGAACTTCAGCTAGACTAGTAGCTCTGCATTTCAGTCCCAAGAAAGACTGGGACAGCGAAGCCTGGGAAGCTTTCAGCTAACAGACCTGGAGAAGCACTGAGCCTTCAGCACAGCAGATGGTGTGAAGGTAAATGTGCTGGCTTTAAATCCGGCCGGCTCCACCAATAACGAGTAAGTGACAATGCTGCCTTCAGCAGTCCACCTGCACCTTTGGGTGGCCAGCCTGCGCGGAAGCTGTCATTACAGCACTTAAAGAGGCACCACAAAGATACTGGCTCATCAGTACCACACCCACAGGAACCCTAGGCCAAATTCAGCCTGTTCTTCCTGGAGGTGGGAGAGCGGTGTGGGACCAGCTGAGCACACTGCATCCCCTTAGCCAACTCCCTGTGATGGGCTGCCTGCAGGATGTGTATTCTGGTAACAGACCTCCTCCTTTCTAAGCTGGGAAAAAAGTCCTTGGTTCCCTTGTGGATAAGCAGATAGATAGGCAAGGCTATCTTTTACAGTGGTACTTGGTGAAGAAAGGAGTATGGAGACTCTTGGTCAGCTCAAATTGGGAACAGAGTGAGTAGAGTTACCGGTCAAAGCCACTGCTGTGGTACTACAGCATCTCTCAGGGTGGGACCATGCAGGAGGGACTCCCAAAGGCTCTTAAAGCATCTGTCAGAGAAACAAATGGATGTACCACAGTGCACCTCTCCTGCATGATCACATCTCTGATGGGATGAGTTCAATTTCTGCAGGAAAGGAGCTGTGTTACTGGCTTAGCAAATCCTCACAAAGCCTGGGTCAGACCTGAGCAGCAATGAGATCCCACTGCTCTGTGTCATGAAACACTCCAAACGGCATCTCTACTCTCCAGGAGGGCAGAGCAGGGAAACATGCCAAAACCAACCCCAAGGGAAGAGTTTCATTAGTAAAGACTAATGAAGCAAGTCTAAAGCAAGTCTTGTTTGCTGTGTGATCCCGAAAGGTATTTGGCAGATAACATCTGACTGCACAGAGCACAAGCCTGCTTCCTTGCCTATTTTAGCGTACTATCTCTAACCTGCAGTCAAGCGTTTTGAGTTGGGTTTGTCCATCTCTATTCATACCACCTCCTGCTATTCTTTTTGCCACATGAAGCCACACACTAGCACAAAAGTCATCTATGAGAGCTGGCAAAACATATCCCCTGAAAAAAAGCAAGTCAATCTCTTGTTTGTTTAATCCCAAGGTGACAGTGCAGCTGGGCTTGTCTTCTTTATGCCTCTTAAGAAAAATCATGTTTTTTACCTTTAGTTCTGCACTTTTGGTTGGCATATTTTAATTATGTGGAGCTAAGAGTCCAGAAAACTGCTCTTATATTTTTTCCTCCATTTATATGCAATTCTTGCACATTTTGACAGTTACCTGTTCACAGCTGGCCTCAACTTCTGACTAAGAAGTCTTGGCAGTCATGATTCTCTGCTTGATCCAGCTTTTGCACCACAAGAGAGAAGAAAAAATTAAAGCAAAGGGACACATGATTAACACAAGAGCCAAAAGGTAGCTCAGAAGGGTAAAGCCATTTGACTTGCTTTTGTAAATAATTTTATTTCAAGTATTGGGGGAGTGGGTGTGGAATTAAAGACTGTTAAGCATTGATCAAGATTTTACAGTTCAAAGTTCAGAAAAGCAGTACAACAGGCCCTGCTGAGTGCACAGACAGAACCAGTCCTGTTCCATTTTCACATGTCACCAGTCAAAAATCTAATACTGGACCCACATACATCAATAGCCACTCCATGCTCGCTTAGCAGGCCAACTACAGTATTTTGTCCCTGCACTGCTTTGATCCTGTCTGTTAAAGAAGCCTTTGAAAATCATAACCATAGGAGCCTTTACAGGATTAGCAGAGCTCAGAACCTTTAATATCTGCACACCAGTTTGGAGAGAAGGAGCAAGTGCAGAACCATGGAGGATCTAAAACCAACAGTGCCTTATACAGAGTTCTCTAGCCAAGTGATAAAGCTTTTTCCCCATGTAAAAGGATCCTGGATTGGGGAAGAGTGGACTTCTTTAGTCCTCTGTCCTGAGTTACATGACAAGCAGGCATTTCCTCAATTAAAATACTGCATGGATTTTAGTTTTTGCAACTGCTCCACAGGCTAGAAGAGGACTAACTTTCTCCCACTATATTAATTAATGCTCCTCAGGCTGGAGAGAGTCATATGTATTTGACCCATAGCATACACTCTCCATTCATACTGGCAGGCAATGAATATAACCCGAATTAAACAGAGAAACATGCTACACAGCCTCGGCATGCACTCAAGCACTGTGCAATCAAAGAATTATGTGTGTATCCCCCACCCCTGCCCTTGCTAAGGTAATCAGAGCAGTAAATTATCCTTAGGGGCTCTGTCAGATCAGGTTTCAAAGTTGATCATTTCCCTGCACAAGAACAGAGGCTTAGCTTAAAACCAAAACAAAATATAAAAAGCATGCACATTCTCCCCATTCTCCTAAGACTCTGTGTGTTGCTTAAAATAAAATAAAAAAACCACAACAAAACCAAAACACAATCACCCACATTATCTGTGCTTCTCACATCACGTCAGAATGAAAAGGCTATACTGCACTAATTCTACCCAAAATTGCATCAAGAGTACTTCACCAATTAAGCAAGAAAATTCTGTCTGCATGGCCTGCCAGAGCTGCTGACAGGAGTCACAACAAGCAGGGAAAAGAAATGGTTACACCTGTCCCCATGTTCCCCTCTCACTCAGCACCAAAATGCCGACCCCCATCTCCCAGTGACAGGTAGCAACTTGAACTATCATTCACTTGCTGAATTTTCAAAGAGAAATGTTGTTCTTTTCCCAGTGTTTGGGTGAGATACCCTGCAAGCTATTTTGTTATCTTCTCTCCATTCCCTCCCTTAAAACCTCCCAGCTTGCAATGGTAACAGAGAGTTTAACCAGAGCAAGGCTGCAGATGCACGGAGCCATTCCACACTGCCCTGCCACCCGCTACACCCCCATCTGTACCCACATCTCAGCATTTATCTCACACTCAGGCTGGAAGCTCCTGGGTACAAGGGCTGTCTCTCTAGCTTGCTATTTGCACAGCACATAGCACAGAGGCCTTCACATGCTGATAGGCTTCAGGTGTTTTAACAGTACAAGAGTTGTGCAATGCCCTGGGGATTTCAAACAGCTGGTCTCTCTCAGTCCCCACTTCTCATACCAATTCTGCAAGTGGGCCGTGAATATTTGTGCAAACCATACCAAGTGCAAGGAGATCAGAGCTTGCTTCAGCCAGAAAGCGTTCCTCACAGTTAAGGTCCTTGGAAATCCCCCTGCATAAGGAGTGCCTTGGTAAATCACGTAGCGATAGTGCCTTGGACCTAAACATTCATCACTGGCATTATCAATTAAGACTTGTGTTTTAGAGGTGCACGAAATATCCAGCCCTCTCTCCACTACAGAAGTCTGATTTGGCTTGGAAAAGGAACTTTAACCGTCTAAGTGAATCCACCCAGACAAGTTTTTGGACTAGGAAAGAAACAGGGAGGATAAGAGTAAAATTGATTACACTTTTCACCTTTGCTGTTTTCAGCAAAAGTCCTTGCTACACAAAGCTGCTCTCTAGCCTGCACCAATGATGGGTCATCTCACAGACTCCCAGTGCCTGCTTTTTGCTCATCTCCATCTCCTCTTCTCCCGCTCTTGGGGCTCACCTGTAGTCATGGGTGAGGGTGACACAAGACTCCTCCTTCCTCAGTCTGGCCAGGAGCGCTCCACCCTCCAGCTGCAGCCTGACCAGCCGTGCATCTTCAAGAACATTCTTCATCAACTGCCTGTAATTCCTCAGCAGCACAGCTGCCTCCTGGAGGGTTCACAAGAGTGAGATGAGCAGTTACTGCAACCTACAGGCAATAACCAGCACCCAACCCAAAACACACACAAACCACATCTCACCTTGGCCCACCCTAGGAAGCTGTGCTTCCCACAGCTGTGTCTCTCAAGCCTGCCAAGTCCAATGTGATAAACAGCACTCTTTATGTTCTCGATACTTTCCCCACCAGGCTAAAATTGAAACCCAATTCCTATCACTGTCTGTACTCCATTTGCTGGGCATAGAAAGAATAAGCTTTCCAGCCTCATTTTCCACTCACAGCTAACTACTACTGTTCTTAGAGCCTGGGCCTGCACAACTGCAAGCTGTGGGACAAGATGCACATGTAGGGTTTGTGGACATACACATGTATGCAGGAAGGCCCAGAGAGGCCACTGTATCTTCCATTGCTTTACTGTTGGGATCCTCAGTGCAGAGCTGGCAGCAATTTCCTACCATGTCAGGGGTACAGCAGCTTCTCAAGAGTTGGGGAATATAATGCTTGCAACAACACAGGTTAGGCCTTTGTACCCTCCTCTTCCTGCCTACTTCCAAACTTCTCTTCTGGAAGCAGCAAAGCTGGAAGCATAGCACAGCCTTGGCATGGTGAACACTGCCTATATTGTCACCTAACTTTATTCCAGGCCATTCAAGCCAACCTGGTGTGGCACAGCTTGAGGCAGCTGCTCAGTACTAGAGACACCAAAGCTAGTACCAACTACAGAGCTGCTAAGAATGCACTCCAATGCTGCAGCAAGCACCCATCAGCAACAAGCACAGCTGAAGAGGAGATCTCCTGGGTGACGCTCAGGGACCAGAGAACCAGCTTCTACACCCAGCAGAGCCTCTGTTACTTCATTTGGATTATCTTCTGCCAGTCCTGCTGTCCCGAGAGCTCCACAGTGACACACAGTACTTGGAACACCCTGCTACTACAGCTTGCAAATTCAAAGCTACAGCTTTTCTGCAGCTATCTAGCCTCCTGCTCTCTTCTGACCCAGGCCCACCTCTGATACAAAGTGAGGGACATGCTTACCTCAGCTCTTTCTGGTAATTTTCCAGGTTCCACTTTATGAATAGCTCCCTGGAGGAAGGCACAAGCACCTTGGCATCCTTGTAGCAAATGTTCCAGCTTCTACAAGGAGAAAGGATGAAGGCAGAGATTATTGCCTCACAGCTGACAGAAAAGCTGTCTTTTCAGCTTACAGAAGGTTAGAAGTACAGAAATCAAGAGAGGATCAAACACATTAACCCCAGGGTTCAATTACACCATTCAGTGAGGCTGTTTCAGCAGAGAGCCCCATCAGAGGCTTCAGATGCATCATGCTATACCAAGGCCTCTATGCAGACCTTATAAATTTGCATACTAATGGCTTGTATGGGTCATGCTTTACAGAAAACAGAACTCAGGCTACTTATGCCCCACATTCTTTTACTATTAGCATTTATTGTAACTTCCCAATAAGATGAATCACTATGTATGAATTTTGGAGGAACAAAACATAGAACAAGTACTTGGAATTTCTCCACTTTTAATGTGAAGAGAAATTATTTAAAGTAGTGTAAATTAAAGATTAGGAAACTGGAAAGCTTCCACAATTAAGCACCCTAAACTACTGACAAATCTGAAATCCTTCCTCTCTTTGGAGGGGGGCGGGGGGGGAGCGGGAGAAAAAAAAAACCCAAACCCCCTAACACTTCACAGGGGTTCATGAGACAGTACTTTTTAGAAAGGTCAGTGATATAAAGCCTAAATACTGTCAGATGCCACCCTCTAGCCACTGAAATGAAGAGAAGGGAGAAACAGCTATTCCAAAAAAAAAACGTCCTCAAAACAAAACAAAAAAGCTGCTGTTTGAATCTTTACTGAACTCCCTCCTCCCTGGAGTGCTGGAACAGCCCCAGCAGTGACAGATTAGCAGGCAGGATGCAGGTGAGATCACTGAAACAGGAAATAAATGCTGTTTGCCACATAGCTGCAGATCTAATGGGGTTGAGCATTTGGGTCATTCTTTCACACAATACATCGTATAAATAGGCAACCCATACAGATTGATTTCTACACTAAGTCTTTTTGGTAACATTTTGCATGTTAAGATGCAAGACACAAGCAAGAAGTAGTCTGATATCATGCTCCCTCCTTCAAGAATTATCCTTCTGCACAGAGCACCTCAGCTCTCAAGCTTTTCTCAACTCTGTCCAGAAAACTAATCCATAGCCTCTTGCAAAGCTTCTCTGCTTCCTCACTGCCAAATAAACCTCAAATTCTCAAATTCAATCCTAGGCACCAAGATTAGGTTTCTGTACCTCTACTGCATCAGCACAGGTTCATACTAGTACTTTTAGATGCAAGTTTAAAAAAATGGGTTCCAAAATAGGTGGAAAAGATAAGTTAACATTTGGCATGTGCTAAGCTTAACTGCTGAAGCTTGCCACCAGAAACACAGTGGTATTATCAATGATATCTTAACCTGCTTCAAATGCTGCAGTGTGCCACAGAGCACTCTGGGCAGTGAGGTCAGAGCCAAAACACCACCGAATCTTTTGGAAGCAGAGGTGATGGTTCTGTCATCCACCAGGGTAAGCAAGTCAAACTCAATGTGAAGACAGCCAATTTGTGTGCAGATTTACACAGGTTTAATCCTGTCTAGTCTCAGTGTGCCAAATCTCTCTCAATACAGCTTTTAAAAATTCAGCAAGCACATGATCCACAGGACTTATGCTCCCTCCACAGCAGGAGTGTACACAGAGCTGGGTATTGGTGCCACAGATGCTACTTTTACAGACTTCTGGCAGTCTGCACATACCCTGCTGCATGACCAGCAACACCTGCAGTCCTGCCACAGATCACTGTGTGCTGCATTGGTGCCTGCAGCACCCTTTGCTATGACTACCTTCTTTATAAACTGTGTCTGGGTGCCACAGTTTCAGCCCTTCTACTTCTGAGGCTTAACCTGGGTCAGCTCAAACATTTCCACAGGATGGCCAGCCTCCCTACATCTTGGGATAGCTCTAAATCTCCAGCTGGGTACAGTTCACCATAGATCTCTTGATTCACGACTCTCCTGCCTAAGAGCGCCAAGGTCAAACAGGATCACAGTACTGAGGCATACTCAAAGCATTCAAACAACAAGGAGAAGGAATGGATTGCTGGTACTGACTCCTACTGTTATCTTGGTCCTAAGACTCACTGAATGGAATCTGCATGTTTCTTCTGTTTCCTCACCTCACATGGCCAGCTCTCAAAGAGGAATACAATGCTCCCCTGGGCTAAAACTTAACTGTATTTTTAGTTTAGATGCTTTCTCAAGAGTTCGAATTTGACAACAACTTTGGTAAGTAAGTGAATTATATCTAAAGGAGGAAAAAGATGTTCCTAGGAGGAACTGATTATCATTAACTTCCAAGTTTCACTCCTGCCAAGATTTCAATTTTTACTAAGGAACTCTTAGCCTGATCCGGGGAACTTGCTCCAAAACCAACAGGATCTAACTACTTTTATTTTGCTTGAGTTCTTGATCGTTAGTTCAAAGGCAACGTGATACTAACACCTTCTTCTGAGATTAGCACGAGAAGTGTCTGCCCTTAAGCCTCAGAGTATAACCAAAGTGCCACTGTCTATCACAATGAAACAGGATTCTGTTTCTTCCTTCCCTTCAAAATATGGTCAAATCTGAATTAATGCAGTTCAAGCAGAGGAGTTAAAAACTAAGATTTCAGTTCCCACAGTCATGCCAATAGGTCGCAGTGTGCATCCATTTTATGAACACAGTATTAGTATTCTTTTGGCAGACTGATTTGCATACACAGCTATCACAGGAACCACTGTCTTTTAATACTTGTAGGTTCAGCTGTTGACAAGCTCCTCTTGCTTCAACTCTGTTACCATACCATTTCTTTTCTCAGATACCAAAGAAGCAACAATCCTACTCACCATGCGGAAGCTTAACCAGTCCCTGTGGCAGTAAGGGAAGGTCCCGTCCAGTTCTAGAGGCAGCTGCGAGCTGTCTATGTGTTTATGGAGGGATTTCATGGAGGTGAGAAGTTCAAACTGCACAGGAACAGAAGAAATAAAAGCATATTTGCATTAGGGTGTGAGTATTGGAGGTGGAGGGGAAGGTTCACGAAAGACAGCATCCTTCGTTTCTTTGTCTGCCTTGCACAGAAACAAAAGCACACAGCATGTATCTGCAATATAACTACAGCATGAAGGAAAAAAAAAAATCAATTCAATCTTAGAGCAGCTTGCTGTACAGCTTAGTTGGCAAACCTTGAGGGAATGCAGGCCACAACATGCTGTTTCACCAAGCAGAACATCTGTGATGGAAGTCTGGCAGCAGCCAGCCTTCTCCAGAGCCAGTACCTCCTAGTATAAGCAGAACAACTCCCTCGTATGTTCCCACGTAGTGTTGTGCTATATATGTCGTGCTGCTATTTGCATTTGTTTGGAGAGTCCAAGAGGTTAAATCCAGCCCCCAGCTTCCCTATCTCACTTCCTGGAAAAACAGTCTAACAGAGCAGCCTCTGCCCTACCCTCATCTCTCTACTCATCACAGCAGCTATTTGTTGCAAGTGTTTCCTGGACCTTGACACAGATAACTTGCCTTCTGTGAGTCTGTAGGACCTCAGAACATTTTTATACTCACCAGAGAAACAGACAAGTGCTCCTGCAGGTACATGGAAGCCAGCCTAGACACCAGGAACTCAGGTGCAGACATTTAACACCCCCCACCACACACCATGAAGTTCCCACCTCCTTCCAAAATAATGATGATGCTTCCAATTCCTCCTGCATGCCCGTGTCTTTATTAGCCTTTGCTCTGTTCCCTCCTACACACCTTCGATTTGTTCAATGTATTTAATGTCTTCTGTAGCTCTCCTTGCATGCACACACCTGCAGCCCCCTTTCGCACTTCAAATTCTTCCACATGGAGGCAATGAGGAAATGGGTTAATAGCATTTGTTATTCTTTAGCCTTTCAGGGCAGCACACCACACACAGAGCAAAACTGATGCTATTCACAGTATCTTCATCCACAGGAGCCAAAAGGGAGGTCCTGGCCTACTCCGAAGACTACAGGGTTTTGACAGGCGCAGAGTTTCAGTCCACTTTTGTAGCTTGACAGTCTTAGAGCAGAGAGAGATGACTAAGATGCAGTCTGATGCTCTATTCACTCACCACAAAGAGTGGCTGATAGCTTATATCTCTTATACAGGTATGGAATACCAAGGCACATTTACTTCTAGTAGGGGTGTTCAGTGATGTTGTGATGCAAGTGAGCTTATCAGTGATGTCAACACTGGAGGCAGCCTAGGCTGCAGTGATCATGTGTTGGTGGAGTTCACGCTCCTGAGGGACATGGGAAAAGCGAGGAGTATAGTCAGGATGCTAAATTTTAGAAAAGCAAACTTCCAGCTCTTCAAGAAGTTAGTCAGAAGGAACCCCTGGGAAATGGTCCTCAGGGGTTCGGCAGGGGAACGGAACAGAGTTGGCAGATCTTTAAGGACACCTTCCATAGAGAACAAGAGCTCTCAGTCCCCAAGTGTAAGAAATCAGGCAAGGAAGGGAAGAGACCAGCATGGCTGAGTCGAGACATGCTGGTCAATCTAAAGAACAAGAGGGAACTGCACAGGCAGTGGCAGCAGGGACAGGTGTCCTGGGAAGAGTACAGGGAAGCTGCCCAGTTGTGTAGGGATGGGGTCAGGAAGGCCAAGGCGCAGCTGGAGCTGAATTTGGCAAGGGATGTAAAGAATAACAAGAAGGGCTTCTACAGGTATGTCAACCAGAAAAGGAAGATTAAAGAAAGCGTACCTCCCCGATAAACAAGAATGGTGACCTAGTATCAACAGATGAGGAGAAAGCTGAGGTACTCAACAACTTCTTTGCCTCGGTCTTCACCGGCAACCTCTCTCCTCACCCCTCCCAAATCAATGGACCAAAAGATGGGGACCAGGGGGGTAGAGCCCCTCCCACTGTGAGGGAGGATCAGGTTCGAGACCACCTGAGGAACCTGAATGTACATAAGCCTATGGGACCAGACGAGATGCATCCCCGAGTCCTGAGGGAATTGGCTGATGTAGC